TGGAGCTGACTCACCAGCTCCAGGATCCCGCCGCCGCCGCCACCCCCTCCCTCCAGGCTTGCACCGCCATGCTGCAAGCCTGGGAGGGAGGAGGAATGCTGGGGAAGAGGCGGGGCCAGGGCGGGGATTTGAGGAGGGAGCCAATGGGGGGAAGGAGGGGGCGGAGCGGGGGGGGGCGAGCGCCAGAGCGGAAGGGAAAATTTCTTCTTTGTCCAGTGTCCCGACCAAACATTGGTCGGGACGCGGGACAAAGAAGCAAATATTGGGACAGTCCCGATAAAATCGGGACGTCTGGTCACCCTAGTGGAAAGATCCAATCAACATTTGCAAAAGGATCCCCTTCTCGCACCTCCGCCCATCATTGCTTCTCACCACTGATGCATCACTCATATGGGGGGAGGAGGGTGCACATCTAAATGGCCTTACAACACAAGGCAAATGGACACCCATGGAGATCTCCCTTCACATCAATCTCCTCAAGCTAAGGGCAGTCAGGAATGGCTGTGCCCACTGATCAAAGTATCACACACGAGAGTCCTAATGGACAATGTAGCCTGCATGTTCTACATAAATCAACAAGGGGGAGCCCGATCACCCTCCCTTTGCACAGAAGGGGGAGCCCAATCACCCTCCCTTTGCACATGAGACTATGGTGTACCTCTCGTGACATCACACTGTCAGCAATCTACCTCCCAGGCACACACAGCTCGATAGCGGACAGTCTCAGTTGCAAATTCCCACATGACCGTGAGTGGGGAACTAGACCCAGTAGTACTTCACGATCTATTCAGGTGACCACGGACTTGTTTGCCACTTACCTGAACAAGAAATGCCCACCCTACTGTTCCAGAGCAGGGATAGGACAACTCTCCTTAGGCGATGCTCTCTTCCTCCCCTGGGATGGAGACCTTCTTTCCTCCTTTTCCTCTACTATCAAAAGTCCTGCTGAAAATAAAAAGAGACAAAGCACATGTCATTCTGATTGCTCTTACGTGGCCAAGACAGACCTGGTTTCCTTACCTGTCACAGCTCATGACACATCCGCCAATCTCTCTTCCAGTCATTCTGAACCTCCTCTCACAGAATAAAGGACATACCCTACATCCCAACCTGGCGATTCTCTGCCTGAAGGAATGGCTCCTTGTTTCAAACACGTAGAAAGCTCCTATTCGATAGAGGTGCAAGAGGTATTATTACACAGCAGAAAGTCCTCAACACAACAGACTTACCTGCATAAATGGTCCAGGTTTCGGATTTGGTGTATTTGCCAACAAATCTCCCCGACATCTACGACTCTTCCACGCATCTTAGACTATGCACTGTCCGTGAAGGTTTGGGGCTCTCTCTATGCTCTCTGAATCTAGCTAGTGGCTATAACAGCCCTTCCACCATCCAGCGGAGAGGTACTCGGTGCTGTCGCACCTGACCACCAAAAGATTCCTCAAGGGTATAGTTAACCTCTTTCCACAACCTCAGCTTCCTACGCCTACATGGGACTTAAACCTGGTACTGAAAGGATCGACTAGGCCTCCCTTCAAACCTATGGCCACCTGTTTGCTTACGTAGCTCTCAATAAAAACAGCATTCCTGGTAGTAATTACTTCGGCCAGGAGACTAGGGGAAATAGTGGCTCTGATGGCATATCCCCCCCATATTCTTTCGGGACAAGGTTACGCCCAGGCCACATCATTCTAAACCTCCCCGTTTCACATGAACCAATTGAGTAATCTTCCAACATTCTATCCCAAGCCTCACCGAGACAAGAGGGAGGCTATATTACACACGCTAGATACCAGGAGAGCCCTAGCCTTCTACCTGGACAGGATGAAGGCCTTCAGAGACTCCCCCAGGCTTTTCCTCTCCATTGCGGAAAGATCCAAGGGTTCAGCAATATCAGCCCAAAGACTTTCCAAGATGGTCTCAAAGTGTATCGGACAATGTTACCAAGTTCACAATATGACCCCTCTAGATACTGTTCGTACACATTCCACAAGGTCTATCTCCTCATCCCTCATCTTCTTCAAGAACATGCCTGTCTCAGAGATCTGCAGAGTGGCGACATGGGTGTCAATCCACTCCTTTGCAGAACATTATGCGATCACTGGGGACTCTGCCTCCCATGCCATCTTCAGCTCCATAATGCTGACGTCAACCCCAAAGTCCCAACCCTGCATTGGGATACTGCTCAGGAGACACCTACAGTGACACGTAGGGATACTACTCGAAGAAGAAGTTACTCACCTTGTGCAGTAACGATGGTTCTTTGAGATGTGTGTCCCTATGAGTGCTCCTGAACCCACCCTCTGTCCCTCTCCTTCAGAGTTCTTGTCAGTGACTCTGCAATAGAGAAGGAACTGAGGGGGGGTTAGCCCGCGTGTGCTGACTACCCTTGTGGTGCAGCACGAGGAGAAACAGCGCGTGTGTGGGCCTCATGGACACTGCTACCGAAGTTCTTCAGTCAGCAGCACAGGGATGCAAGCACACCTACAGTGGAGCACCCATAGGGCGACGCATCTCAAAGAACCATCGTTACTGCACAAGGTGAGTAACTACTTCTTGTGCACAACTACCTTGCCTGTTAATGAATGTGAGCTGTCCTTGTGCACACTGACCAGTAATTATTATTGTAACTAAATTGATTTACATTTCCAAGTGAAGAGCCTGATCCAGCTGGGAGTTTGATCAAATGATTTGGTTTAGTGATATTTCTTTGATTGTATTTTTTTTATTGCTATCAGGACTATAATGCTATGGTGAAGCTGGTGGAAACACTGGAAATGCTGCCTACCTGCGATCTGGCTGATCAGCACAACATTAAATTTCATTATGCATTTGCATTGAATCGGTAAGGATAACTGCTAGTTTTTTTTGCATTCTCTATAGCTATATGTATATGCACATATTTAAAATGGATGTGCATATACTTGCATGTGTATGTGCGTGCATATATGTGTAACATCTTTCTCACTCACACCCACACCACTCGGGATGATATTCATGACATAAATTACTTTGTTTGCAATAACCATGTGTTAATCCATTTGTGCCAGGACATTTGAAATCTCAGAGCAGCTTTCAAACAGCCCCCATTTGGTAAAAGAATAGCCTGCCCACAAGACTGGATAAAAGACCTGATTCAAAGCCCATTGAAGTCAATGGAAAAACTCCCATTGACTATAGTGGGCTTTGGATCAGGCCCAAATTCATTAAATGTTTGAGTTCTTGCTTATCCATGTTTCCTTTTTGCTAAATTGCTATGAGTTAAAGGTGAGTTATTAAAGTAATCAGTGATCAGTGGTAGTTGAACCATACATTGTATCTCCGGTTGAGGGAAGAAAAGCCCATTTGAGCCTGTCTGCTTTCATCCACTCGACCTCTCCTGAAGCGATAAAGATAAATGTTCTGTTTTCTCCCTGTATTCCTCTAGGCTGGTCTTTCCATAGCACTTATCTACAATGGCTACTGCGTTTTAAAATTATAGTAAGAAAGCTTTTAGCTTGTTTCTGTGGAAAATAGGTCTTGTCAAACAAGCCTCGTTTTACTCTTTGATGAGATTACAGGTCTGGTTGATAATAAAGTAACTGTATAAATGTAATATACTTAGATTATTGTAAGGCATTTGACTTAGGACAGCACAACATTCTTAAAACTTTCCCAGAATGTAACCTTTTGGCTGAAATTTTCCATTTTTGGTGCCCGCCTCACTGTACTTTTATGTATGTGTGAGAGTTTCAGCAAAAGGGATTCAGGCTTTCTGAGAATGAAGCTTATCGAAACTGTCTCCCCTGCCATTAATTTTTGGTGACTTTTTGAACACCTTTATTGACTTGAGAATTTGATGTAGGAAATTGAAATTGGTCAGAGAGCTAGTCCTGGGGCCAGAAAAATACTTTTCATTGTCTCTCTGAAAATTTGTCTAGGTCTGACCAGTTATAAGCTGCAAAAAGCTGCCATTTGCACATGTGCAGTAGAGTTTATTAATTAGTCATGTTTGTTACGGTTGCGCCTTAGGGCCAACCAAGAATGAGGCTCCTTGTGTTAGGCACTGTACTAACACAGAGCAGTAAACAACCCCTGCTTAAAGTCTAAATAGACAACAGAGACACAGGGTGTAGACCCAAGCAGAGTGAACAGTGGGATTGCAGCAAATGTCATGTTAGTTCCACAATTTATTTTATTTATTTATTCATTTATTGTGGGTTTAGTTAGGAGAGGATGAGCTGAAGGGAAGGAAAAGGGGACATTGAAAGGAAGGGGATAGAGGGGAAAAAGGAGAGGAGGGGGAAAGGGGCATGTGTAGAGTGAATCTAAGGTGACGAGAGTGGGGGTATGTCTACACTTCGAGCTGGAGGTGTCAGTTCCAGCTTGAGGAGATTTACCCATGCTAGCTGTGATCAGATGAGTTCACTAACTTGATACAGTGTAGCCGCAACAACATGAACAGTGAGAGCGTCTAACCACCCTGAATATGTTCCTGTTCGACACATTAGGCACATACTTCAGATGGCTAGTCACTCCCACTGCTCATACTACCGTGGCTACACTCAATCATAGCTACCACAGCTATGTGACCTCCAGCTTAAAGTGTAGACATACCTTGGGAGGGAATTGGGGGCAGGGAATTGGGGCGAGTAGCTATCAGTACAGGGCAGAGTTAGTTATTAGTTACAAATAACAACTAATCATACAAGTATGATTCACTATTATTATTAGTTATTAGTGGTGTGATTAGTTATTGTATGATTAGTTCTATTAATGCCACTAAATCTCATGCATCTTTTTGAAGATATTGATGGAATTAGAGTTCTGTAAAAGACACATGCAAAATAATCTGCACCTGTTCTCCTCATCAACATATGCTGCATTGAGTTACCAGACTACTTGAGTATGGTATTCTTATGTTCTTTTGGAAATACTTAGGAAATGTATTATGGTAAATAGTTTTCTAGAAATGAACAATTAATTTTCCAACAGTGAGAACACAAAAGTACTCTCTCTTGTTTATAGATTTTTGGTCCAATCAAAGAGTAATCTTTTTAAATTACTTCCCTTCAGCAATTTTCAAAGTATATTTGCTACTTGATGCATTGTTTTGGACTTGAAAATATTTTTAGATCAGGTCTATTCATATATCTGGTCATCCTAAAAACTTAATTGTTAACTTTTTCTACAGAGTGCTTGTGCTATTAACTTTCTGGTTTTATTATTCCTGTTTTATTGAATTTTGTTAGTATTCACAAGAATACAAAATGATAAAGTTATACCTAAGATATTGATTCTTGCCTTGCAAAACAGGGTAAAGATTACCCAGAATTACAATGAAGTGCAGCAGGAATAACATGCATCATAAGTAATAACAGAATAACTGATTGTAGGAACCTGAGCATACCAAATGTCAGACACTGCTGAATCTAATAATTAATATTTCACATCAATTATACCACAATTCTAATCATAATCAGCAGACTATCTCATTCATTAATTTCCTCTTGTTCTGTTTTAATTAAGTTATTGTTGGCAGTTAATTTCATTTAGTCTTTTCAGTTAGATGGTTGGGCTGTGCTACAAAGAGCTAGAGATATGGCACTCAAATGATAGGGAATCATTTCTGGGGGTGTGGACTCTCCAAATTATGTGGAGAGAGGGCAGAGAATTGCATACACATTTATGGCACTATTCTAAATAATAGATTATGATAATTCCTCAAGTGTAGGTTCTGTGGTAGGATAGTTATCTGTCACATTGGTCTCAACTGGGGACTCAACTTTGGAGCACAGAACACATATTATCAGGGACTCTTCTCTTTGCTTCATCTTATTTAATGTAAGGTCAGTGGCTAATACAATTTCTAACTACTATGATGTAATTGTAAGGATGATGTATAGCTGAGGATCTGTGGAGCAGATTCCTGGGTGAAAAATAGCTGGGGTGTACAGGTTGTACTGTGGCGCTTTGTCTGGGTTGGCACTGGAGTTGCCTAGACCTATTGTACACCGGACCCTTTCTAGAATGCGGGATTTGGGATCCAAGTGCGGTACCGCGTTAATGCGGGGACCGCGTTAAAATAAATTGCAATTAAAGTAATTAAATTTGGGATCCATGGCCGCGACCGCGTTATTTGTGAATTCATGCTATATAGACGCGTGTTATAGCGAGGGTCCGGTGTATTATGTGATTATGTGGACATGGCTTCATGGCTGACTCAGGGTTTCATGACAATCATGGGTCTGTCCCAAGTGAGTTCAGGTTCTAGGAATAGAAGTAGGTATGCTCTGAACCTTAGTATAGTTTTGTGTTTAAGGAGGGTGAAGATTATATTTTATAATACTCCTAGTGTTTGAGCTCAGGGCTCACCTTTAAAGAAATAATGTCCTCTGCCTCATTGGGGATAGTCTGCCAAAACAGATTTATGAATCCATTTGGATTTCATATTTCTCTAAGGGAGAATGCCTAGCATTCAATGGTTGTAAAGTGAATCTGTCGTAGTCTGGTATGATGATACAACCACACTTTGTTCTCTGCCATCAATACAGTGGTTCCTAAGCAATCCTCCCACTGTATGTTCTCATGAGTCATGTGTCTGCCTCAGATTGAAATTGTTTGCAGAAATTGACCCAAAATGGTTGTCATTTCAGAGAACAAGTTTAGGAAAAACGTATGTTTCTTTTGACTGTGTTAAAAAAAATTCTGTTAAGCTTTTCTTTGAAAAGCTCTAGGACTTCCATGCCTTGGAGCCAGGGACTTGAAATTTGGTAGGGGGCCTTTGTATCAGGAAATTCCACTCACATTTGGCCAATTTATAAGCTTTAGAAAAATTGCAGAATGCACATGCTTAGTGGAGACTTCTTAGGTTTTAGCAGCTGAATTTCCCAGAACTCCATCAACTCTGGGCGTGCTATAGCCTGGGGCTGAGCAGGACTTTCCCTGCAATTGCAGGTCTTTGTGTCTGCAGGCTGTGCTGAGCCTGGGCACCTGAACTGAGACACTGGCTACTGTCTCTCCTGTGCTGTCAATGCAGTGCAGAGGGGGAAAGAGCTGAGCCTGCTAGGGGGGAGTAGATTGAGCAAGGTTGATAGAAAACTCGGACTGAAAGCTGAAGCTGTCAAAGGAAACAGGGAAACTGGGGGACTGGTCTTCACGGAAAAGTTACGTCAGCCCAGTTATGACACTCAGGGATGGGCAAAATCCACACCCCAGAGCTACCTTGTTAATTTGATCTAATTCACAGTGTAGACAGCGCTAGGTTGATGGAAGAATTCTTCTCTCAACTGAGCGACTGTCTCTTGGGAAGGTGGAATAACTACAGCAACAGACGAACCCTCCTGTCGCTGTAGTGAGTATTTACACCGAAGTGCTACAATGGTGCAGCTGCAGCTGTGCTGCTGTAGTGTTTTATATATAGACATAGCCTGGACTGGGCTGGAGGAATGACTGGGGCTGTGAGCAGGCAGACCAGGACTGGCTGGACAAGGAAACTGGGACTGGGAACTGAGAGGAGGGGGAACTGATATCAGATTGGGTTGGGGGGAGGAGGAGAATGGGACTGGGTGGGTAAGGAGACTGGGATTGAGGATCAGTGGGGCCAGGGATAGGAGATGAGAGTGGAAGGGAGACAGGTTTGATGAGGAGACAAGTGTGGGCATAGAACTGGGCCTGGCTGAGTCAAGAGAATGCAACAGAGAGCAGGAGGGGGATGGGGACACTGAGATTGGCTGAGAAACCCAGGAAGGGAGACTGTGATAGGGAATTTGGGTGAGGGTTGGGTAGGGAGGGGGTTGTCTAGAGGCTAAGGTAGAGCTTTAACTTGCCTGTAATTAGCTTAATGCTAGGAGAATAATTTAAATG